TTGTCTCGACCAACCTGGTGCGGCATACAAGTCGCGGGCAGCTGGCTGCTCTGGCAGCGGGGTCGTCTCAGGCTGCGGTGGTACGGCGTCAGCAGCTGGCCGTCCTGGTAGCGGTGTTGTCTCGAACACTGGTACATCATATCCGGGAGCAGCAACTGGCTGCTTTGGCAATGGCGTCGTATCAGGCTGCGGTGCCACAACGTCAGCAGCTGGCTGCTCTGGTAGAGGCGTTGTCTCGACCAACCTGGTGCGGCATACAAGTCGCGGGCAGCTGGCTGCTCTGGCAGCGGGGTCGTCTCAGGCTGCGGTGGTACGGCGTCGGCAGCTGGCTGTTCTGGTAGCGATGTCGTCTCCACTGGTGGTGCACCATATCCAGCGCCAGGAGCTGGCTGTTCTGGCACATGTGTTGTCTGTGGTGCTACAGTGTCAACAACTGGTTGCTCTGGTAGTGCAGTTGTCTGGGGTTGCGGTACAGGAGCTCCAGCATCAGCGGCTGGTTCTGACTGTAAACATTCCTTCACCTTAGACGCCTCAGCACATGTTCGATGCTCCTCCGAGAAAACGTATCCTTCGTCACATGTCAGTTGGAAGGCCTGAAAAATCCGCGTTATTACCCGCATGCTTCTGCATGAAAATTGCTGCCCTCACCTTGCCTTCTACGCAGTTTGTGAATGTTCTGCTGCAGCGACCATTTCCAGAGGGTCCCTCAGTCGTACAGGTTACTGAAAAACCACTCTATATTATCTGGTTCCTTCCTTATGTCACAGTAGCTCGAACTCACCGTGAACAGTGTTTTCATTAGCAGCGACATAGCAAGCTACATTTTCAGGATATTCGCAGATGCGTTTCTTCTCGTCGTAGAGCATGTGGTTCGGACAGAGCATCGAACTGGCTTCTCCGCCTCTACAAGCGATAACCTCCGACGAGCATCCGGGAGCGTAGAAACCGTCAGCTTTGCCATCACAGAACGCTCTCACTGAAAACAAAACCAGTAATTCCGAAAAAGTAGAAAGCGGAAAAGCACACCTGTCTCAGGAACCGGAGTGGTTGGCTCATCCATTGCCTCGACCTAGAAAAAAAACTTATTATCAAGCGAGTCCTCTGTCGCGTCCACTTCCGGCCGCGTTGGTTTGTTCCTGTCCAAAACCTACCTGCGGAGCCTGGGTTGGATTGGCAGCTGCGTCTTGAGAGGTGGGTCCTGAAAAGGGTTAAAAATGAAACAAACGAAAAACTACGCAGAATTCAAGCACTATTTGGCTCACCGGAGGACTCTCCTGACGCTTCGTATGTTCTCGAAGCTTCATAGGAGAGCCCTCCAGAGGCCTCAACGCCATCGCCAGAATAGTCTTCATGAGCTCCGGAGGGCTCTCCCGAAGCTTCTGCAGACCCTTCAACAGCACGTTCGTCGGATGAAGTATGTTCTGCATCAGACTTCCTCGCATACTCGCTAGCACTGTCCGTTTGCAATCTTGGTTCGGTCAAGAAATCGGTCTGGTCGTCTCGAAGAGATCCTCCAGAACCTTCTGCCGAGCCCTCTCTAGGCTGCTCTACAGGTGCTTCGCCTGAGCCCTCTCCAGAAGGCCCTCCAGATGCTTTGTCCGAGCCCTCCTCGAAAGTC